AGTGGGTAGCGGCTAATTCAGGGAACAACAAAAAACGAGGCTGCTTATAAATTGGCTCTAGGGTTAATTTACGGGGCACAGGACAGCCTTGATTCAGGCTTCTCAAAGGAGCGGATGCACACTTTTGCAGAACTCACGCAAATACTCCGTTTGAACCCGTCAGACTTTACTCTCCCCTGAGTTCACATTATTACGCCCCCCTAACAAATCCTATAGAGACGTTTCCAGGAACTCACTCTTTCTTCACCTCAGCTGATGTCCCACTTCAATGGCACTTCCTTTGAATGTTCCCATTGCGGCGACCCTCACGCCACAGTTTTCCACATCCTATCCGGCTGCCCTGCTGATTCTCCCCCGCAGCAACAGCCTGCGATCTCAAGCTGGGAGGACTGGGAGATCCTGCTCTCGTATGAGAACCCGGTGTTAGCAGCTTGCTGCGGTGACTCGGGCAGCCGATGTCATGGCGGGTAAGGATATGGCCATGTAGACGTGATGTGAGGCCGCGCGGTGGTCCAGAGATCCAGGGGGTTCAAACACACTTGCTAATGAAGGTTCGTCTGTCTGTCTGTTTGTCGGAGAGGTGCGGGCACTTTTTTATGTGCCTCGCAAGCACGTCCATCCTGTCTCTAACTGCGGTTTGTCTCAGGCAATTTGCCCCTATGAGCACGGGCAAATGATCTCAGATTTATTCCGTCAAAGATGGTGTTCAATATGCATTGCGGGAAAAAAAACATACCCTATCACTCATGCAGCAGCAATTATAGAGAATACGTGACTTCAGATGCGTGAGCAGCGCCTTTACTTGTATAGCTGGGCCAACGGTGGACCAATAAAAAAGGCAGTGCAAGCCCTGCACATCTGCAAGAGCTAGCGTACACAATCAATCGACGTCACAACAAAGGCGTTCAAAGGTACAAAATCCTTCATTGTTGAAATGACGTCAGTATCATGTATGCGCATGGCAGGCAACAGTGCTTGTATTGACTTGTCAGCTTAAGCAATTCAGGCAAAGCGAAAAGGTCATTTACTGCAAATTTGAAGCACAGCCAAGTACAGCCTGTATTTACCCCTTAGAAGAGTGTAGCGCAAGGATAAAAAAAGAGTTACTGCAAGAGAAAGAGAGAGAGACAGAGATATCAATTATTAGAAGAGAGAATTCGGCTTGAGATAGTCCACTCTAACCTGCTACTCTGGACAGAGGAAGAGGGGCAGGAGAAAAAAAGATAAGATGCAATGCGCTGCAACAACAGGCCTCGGTGCACCTTCGCACTTGTGCACCAATCTCGCAAGCGTTACCTGTTGAGACCTTTAAGCTCACTATAGCTCTCCGTAGATATACGCACGCAGTCACAGGCAATGGTACCGCAAGCCGGAACAGAGAGAGGCTATCTGCTTTTTATACTGGTCATTGTAAGTCCATGTCTTGTATACACTGCGGGCCCCTCAAAATTGTGTTTAATGAAACCAATCACATGCGAGCTGGTTCCATTCTATTCCCGTGAATTGAATACGTTCTTCACTCTGTCAAACTCACTGCCGTCCACGTCTGCGTTTTTCATTATTTTCTTGATGATTAATTGATTGATTGATGTGTGGAGTTTAACGTCCCAAAACAACCATATGATCGTGCTCCAGAAATTTTGACCACCTGGGTTTTTTGACGTGCACCAATATCTGAGCACGCGGGCATACAGTATTTTCGCCTCATCGAAAATGCAAGCGCCGCAGCCGGGATTCCATCCCGAAACCTTCGGTTCAGCAGACGAGTACCTCAGCCACTAGACCACCATTGTGCTGCTTTATTACTTGCTATCCATTGCGCTGCTGTAACTGGTCATCGGTTGTTGGAGCTATTGGTCTTGGGGCAAACGATAATTGGCATATTTTTTTTCCTAAATGTGATAATATATTTATTTAAAGTTTGTTCTCAAGCCAATTTTGTTCTTCAGACTTCTTAATCTTACGGCTCTTGTTTCCCGTTCCATTTCATGCTTCGCCGACCTTCAATTTTCGTCAAGTTTCTTTAGTATACTTCAAGATTCAGCCCGCTATGTTAGAATTGATAGTGTGAAATGAATACAAAATCTTTACCTAAGGTACAGTGTCCACTTCATTTCAAAATTTGGGAGTACCTGTGGTACTCATCCGTACCCTTATTATTCCTCTGCTTATATTGTATGGAATGCGAGTGTTAACATGTTTTTATTCAGGCAAAAGCCTGCAGGAGCCTCATCAAACAGCAAATATGAACCATCGGCAGCGACCCTCTGGTGAAGTCGGGAAGCGATGCGATAAATCATGTTATGGCGTACCCACATGAAGTCTTCATGACGTCACCAATCGCAAACATTTCGGACGTCATCATGTAGACACGAATTCCGGCGTGACGCACACGATGGCGTTGTGGCTCCCTCATTGGGACAGCAAGCGAAACCCGAGAGCATGCGAATTTGAGAGAAGAAGAATGGCCCCGTATCTGCATGTTACACTGCAAATGTCACCGAAAGACGATAGCCTTCTGCCTGGAGAGAGTGAACAAAACGCTAATTAGATGTTCTGCGCAAGAAAAACGGTGAATGGTATTCTGGAGGCGCTGCATTAGAGTACCTCGAGCGTGCAGCAGAGACGAACGAGCGCATCAGGCCACGTTACACATGAGACATGAGCGCTATCGGGGAGCTATCCTCGAAAATGGAGCGCGAGCCGTGAGCGCCCTGTCTCTAAAGTGATAAGGTGTAGAACGAAAAGCGACGGGTAGGTGCCATCACCGTGTCCGTCTTAACAAAGCGTCGGAAAGACATTGCCTTTTCGTGCAAGTGCTGCATGGTGAGCGCATTGTGATAAACGCTACGGTCCTTAGAATTACTTATGTATGCTTTTTCTAGTAAAAAAAACATATACATAATATTGACGTGTTGTTATAGTGCCTCAGATATGAGCAATGATTGCTTTTTAATTGAGAATCGCACAAGTATGAACACTGAAGCATGAACAGTATTGGTGGGCGCTGCGGATGGGGTTGTTGTTTGGAATATTGTTTGGCCACTATGGTGCCATTCAGAATACCGTTAAGGGCGGACAATCAGACAAAAGTACAGACAGACAGACCAAAATTTTTGCGTCGAAGGTCCACAAGAAAGACTATGTATATATCATCTTTAAATTGAACACTGCGCTGGGCTGACGTGGCCAGTCTTCACTGCTGCGTTATACATCGACTGAGAAGGAAAAAAAAAAGCCTTAGTGTTTGGGCCATTTTGCGTGAATGCACAAGAGATGACCAAAAAAAAAAACCCTGCAGGCCATTGCTGTAGTTCATTGCTGTAGTAGTTCACTTTTTCGAGGACTCAGAAATATCACGAAAGTAGTAAAACAGAAAAGAAAATGTATTGCCATTGTCAACATGTATTTTTCAATACAGTATTGTTGTGTTTACATTTTCATAGAACAATCTTGGTGAAAACTTTTGTGAAGACATTGCAGTATTTAATAGACTACATGCTCCCGAAAGACATGATCACCTTTGACAACATTTTAGTGATCTTTCATGTTTTTGTGGACATTTCAGTAGCCTGACTACTTCTGTTCACTTTAGTTGGGGCAGATTTCTATATTGAAAAACTTAGCCTCAATACCTAAGTGTTGTGCGGCGTACCATTGTACAGCCTTGCGTTTGTTATATAATATGCGATGTTGACCGTTGTGCAAGTGAAGAGGAGTAGCTGGCACTACGCATCGGCACGAACCTCCCCTTAGAAAAATTTAATTTTAAAACTTCACTAGAATCCGTGTGAATGTTCTTTTTTTCCCCTTACTCCCAAGAAAAATCAGCTCGTACAAATATCTGGTGATTAGGGTGCAGTTAATTGCTCCCCTTCGATACGCATTCAATCCTCTGTATCAGTTTTTGTATATCAAGTAATGCAGCGTCGTGAATACGTCGTCCCTCTAGTTTTAATGCAGAAAACAGAAAAACTCGTTTGCTCTAATAATAATAATAATAATAATAATAATAATAATAATAATAATAATAATAATAATAATAATAATAATAATAATAATAATAATAATAATAATAATAATATAATATTATTATATATATATATTATTATATATATTATTATATATATATATATATATTATATTATTATTATTATTATTATTATTATTATTATGAAGACACGTGTGCCCGGGTCAGTCTACATGAGTGTAGCCTTTGCCTCGCTCAGTGTTCAGTACCTTTATTTCGTAGCAATCCCTATTGTTCAGGCGTTCACAATGGAGCGTTGACATAAATTTTACCGAGAGAGAGAAGGCAAGTATTAGCTACTGACAGGTGCTATTTCTTGTTTAGGGCGTTAGTTTCAAAGCTGTTCAACTCCGCTATATCGCACGACCTTTTCAAGCGCTTGTCAGGGCGCTTCGCGTGGAGAATTGAATATGCCACCAACATAGCTTTTAAATCAAACCGGTTTAAACATTTCGATTTTTATTCGCGCTGCCGGATTGTTCACCTCGGAGAAGCCGAATATGCAGCTGCGTTTTTAAGAAGTCACGTGTGACAGCTGTGTGCGCGCTCCGATCGCGCGTTATGTTTTTTTTTTTTTTCAATGTACGTAGTTGCACGCCGTTCTCCCGCGGCCCTCGGTGTCACGTGCATACCGCGTACAACGTTCCGCTTTTTGTTTAACGCGCGCAACAACGACACCCCCCCCCCCCTATTACCCTTCGATCTCTTTCCTTGGTTTTTTAATTTATTTGTCGTGCAGAAGTGCAAGAGAGAGCCAACCGGCGTGATCGCGGTGAAAAAAACCTCCGCCAGGGTCGGGCTCGGCGCTGCCGTCGTAGCGAGCGCGGGCGCGCGCGCTCGTGTCGTCGTCCTATCAGCGACGCTTTCCTCCGAAACTAAAGAAAAAAGCCATAACGAACAAAAACAAAACCAAAGCGTGCTTCGGTTCTGTCAGGCGCTGAAGTTCGCAGTCTCTTTCCTGCTCGGGCCGGAAGCGGCCGGTGTTCGCGCTCCTTCCTAGTGGGGGCCTCCCGCGGAGCATTGCTCTTGCTTCTCCGCAGCTGTTCTTCCACGTTGTCTCCTATCGCGGGGCTTTGCTTCGGAAAGTTCTGCGGCCTCTTCTTCGGCGTTTCGTCCGTTTATTTTTTTGTTTTATTTCTATGCTTGAGTGGTGTTTCAAAATTGTCCAGAAGAGCCGTGTATGTAATTCTATCGCTCGATCACAGTCCTTCCAACCGTTCACCCCGAACAGTAGCAAACCGTCCACGTGCTTGATCGAATGCCGCGACATCAAGTGAGGTCCTGACACGGTGTGCGTGTAGCCGAGCTGTCTTTGTTGCTTCTCGCGCTTTGGCGGCGCTGCATTGTGAGCTGCGTGCCCCCGATTCGCTCGATCATTTATCGAATTCTTTTTAATTTTTTTTACCCTTATTGTGAAGCTCTGAGAACGTTGCTGCAGGCTAAACGAGAAACGTGCGCTGTCGTCGAGAATTCGCCGATTGGAGTCATCTGTACCGTGTGCTACTGTGCGTTGTTATTAGATGCCGACATCAACAGATAGAGCAGAATTCTGTGGTCAACATCGACGAAATCGGTTTTGATGGATGCCTAAGAGTGTGAAGATCAAGCACTTGCAGTATAGGTTCACTGAGCCTGTGAGAGTGCGTTTCTGCGCAAAGCGTGTTGCTTTTGTGGGATCTACCTTGCCCGGACGTACAAAGGCCGAAGCTGTCGTGACCTCTGGTAAGTGACGCACTAGGTATATATGTTCTACTGATTCATCTACCGGTTGCTGTATGCTGTTTTGTATACTTGTCTCGCTGTGGAGAGGTTGAGGTTTACAATACTTCGAGTACTTCATTTATGTAAGGTCTGAAACAAAAAGATCAAAGAAAAAAATTGGGTATACGATGTTAACAGTGGCTGAGTGCTGTATGTGCTAAAGAACACATATATGCTAATGCTAACACATGACCATGCTGAATGCAAAGCTTGCTTCCAAAAATTCACAGCTGCAATAAGCGTCCACAAGCTCGTATTTATAGTTCTGCTCACAGCATATGGACTAACACTTTATTGCGCATATAGTAACTAATAACTGTATATCACAAGCGCCTGTCCAGTCCGCTGTCCACTAAGAGATTATTCAGGAAGATGTTCGTCTTTTCCTGAAGATGCACTTGAGGACATGGACCAAGTAATTTCTGTAATGCGAGAAAGTGTTTGTCCAAACTCGTTAGTTCTCGTAGCTTGTTTCACAGGTGTATATTCTTAATTGAAGAGGAAATGGACATGGGCCGGGCATGTAGCGCATAGACGGGATAACCGCTGGTCATTAGGGGAACTAACTGGATTCCCATAGAAAGCAAGCGGGTGATGGGGAGACAGAAGGTTAGGTGGGCAGATGAGATTAAGAAGTTTGCGGGTATAAATTGGCAGCAGCAAGCACAGGACCGGATTAACTGGGGGAACATGGGAGAGGCCTTTGTCCTGCAGCGGACGTAGTTGGGCTGATGATGATGATAATGATGAGATGATTATGGTGATGATGATGATGATGATTCTTAATTGTGATGCTGCAGTGAATTTGTGCGTCGTGATTACGGGGCGTGTTCACCACTCGAGTGATATTTGCGACCAATCATTGTTACTTAGTGGTTAACGTTCTCTGCTGTGGCGGCTGCGTTTTCTATGGAAGCGAAAAAGCTGCAGGGTCATGCACTTACATGAAGACGTGCTTCGAAGAATCCGAAGTGGTCTAAATTTACGAAGCTCTCCACTATAGTGTGCCGTATAATCGTATTGTCGACTTGGGGCGTTGAACACCAATAATTATTATAAATGACTTATACTTCCAGGAAGTGTGGATGCATTAATAGTGGCTCACCAAATATTTATTTACAGCGAAAATAATGATACACACACAAACACACGAAATACGTAAAAAAACAGTGACGCACGCACATACAAAGTTTCTTTTTAGGTCTAAGTTTCTGTTTGCATCTAGTCATTGTTTTCGCCGCTAAAAACATGGATCATGCTTGAGCTTAGCCTTTAAGAGTAGAACGTGATAGCGTAATTGGACTCCGTGCGAATGGTCCCCTTAATAGCTAGCCTACTTTCTAATCTCGGTGCATGCCTCTACCAGTGCCGTAATTTTAATATGCACGTGCAGTTCGCGTTTCGAAATTTCCTTGAAGGCCTACAGCAAGTACACTTCTTAAGAGCCCACTACCCGAAATTCTGCCATTGGTGAATCAGTGAAGGGTTCACTGCGCATTCGTAAGGCAACACGCGAACCTACGAAGCTGCTCTTTGTGTTGATGCTTGTGCAGCTGACCATGGTTGTGATGGGCATAACAAGCACTCTTTCCGCAATCCCCAATGTTCTGACGCCTGGCGCGAGTTTAAGCTTCTGCCATGCATATATGATGCATAAAAGAGACGCTTTGCTATACATGACAACCATGTAGTTTTTTTTTTTTAACAAGTTTCAAGCAATAGCATCGCTATACGGTAGGACTCTTGCTGGCCACACAGACGGCTTCAATTCAATGCTCACTCGAACCTAAAATCTTTTTGTTTATTTCACTAGCATCTTTCTCAGCTTTGTGTTTATGGCAAGATGATAATTTTTAATGACAACCATTGACACCAATTCCATAGTTTCTGCAGAAGGAGCTCCTAAGTTCTATCTCATTAAAATATGGCAGAGAGGGGGAGTGGGGGGTGACCGTAACCTGCGAATGAGATACTTGGTTGTAAGCAGCTTTCACCGGTCGATGTTCATATGCCCTTGAGCGTTCTTCATTGTCCAAGGAGACATCGGTGACATCAAGCGTTGGACGCCAGTGAGCCCTCTATTGTTATAGTTCAAGGTATCCTGCAAAGCAACTGATTACGTCAGCAGGCAAACTGACGCTGTAAAAGAAGTAGAAGCATCGCGTACCCTGTTGTCCATAAAAACAGAAAATTAAAAATAATGTTTCTTTTTGCAGAATTTACTTTACCGACTACCAAAACAACACGCTTCACTTATTAACATACATTTATTGGTGCTCGAAGGGATGTGAAGGAGACGTTGAGGAGAGTCTCCAATAGGCAGTTAATACGGCAGAATACTACCGGGAAAACACAGAAGTTAAAATGTTACCTTAGTAAGTGCGAGTTACTACTTCATAGACCAATCAAACGAGGTCCAGAGCCAAGGAGATGGAAGCCACTCAGAGATGTCGACATCAGGCTAACCACACGTGATAAAAACCCCTATTCTTAAAGGTTTCCAATTGATCCAACAGGTTTACCTTTAACATGATTACCAGGAAAACGGGAATGGTCATCAGACTCATTACTCTAGGGATGTATATAGAAAGAGGATGCCTTAAAAAGGCAATTTGCTCCAAATTATCTATGCCTTCCTCATGTGCCAAATCATTCACGTAGCAGCCATGCACAACTGACTCAAGTTCAAGAGAAAGATGCTTACACTCTCGTTAAGTGAAACATCAAAAGGGTGCTCCGTATTCTCATGACTGCATGCACAGAGCGCATGTGTACATTAGGCAAGAACAATACGCTGTCAGAATATTATAAAAGCACAGGAATCGCCCCAGCTGGCTCTATCTTGCTGTTTGGCGGGGAGAAGAACGGTAGCCAGTCTGGATCCTCAATTCAGTGTTAGCAGAGGAGAGAAGCTATCGAACCACTGAAGTGCAAAGAGAAAATATTCTTGTTCCACCGATCCGTCGCAATACGCATCCACAGCACAATGATGGAATGCGTAGAGCAAGAGTGGCTATGATCTTGAAGAAGATCAAGGATGATCACCAGTCGGTGTGCTTCGCAGATCTGCTGCTGCTGAAAAACATTTATTTATAGTTGTTATTTACCGGGAGGTTGGGAACGCTTCGTAGACTGCAGGACAATATATATAAGGAACGCTCATCTCACTATGCCTGTGGTCGCAATAGATAACAAAAGTCAAATAATTTCGTTGGCTTCAGTGTCTAGCACTACCTTTTCCTAAAGCGGAGCAAGTTGCGGTTGCGTTGGCACTCTTGCATAAAAAAATGACACAAGTATACTAAGATTCTAGCTCGGTAGTCTGGGTGTTTGCCTCGGGCTTCGTTGCGGAAGAGGCACACGACGTTCTGAAGAACGGGGCCACAACTATGCACACCATCACTCGGTTCAAGGCCCACCTAGGTCAAAATTTGGACTCGCTCACCAACCTCAACGACATCGCTCACCAACCTCAAAGATTTCTTGTGGTTGTATTAAGCTGAGTTTCCACATGATCTTGCTTATTTACCTATTGCCAAATAATGAACCTCTATTAATACGAATTCCTTAATAATGCGTGTTTTTGTACAGTCCATTAGGGTTATTTTGAATTTCGTTTTCAATTTTTTATCGGTGATTACCTTGAATATAAATCAAATGATGTAGCCCACCCTCTGTAACACCTCTTCAAACGGGGCCGTTGAGAAACAGCAAAATGAACTGAACTTCCGTAGTTTACAAACTAACAGAGAGATAGTAAGCATAATACAGAGCCATCTATGTCCCATCCGAACCAGGCTTCTCTTGAAGCTCTGTGAAATTACGTTCATTGATTCTCGTGAGGTCAATCGTGCTTTGAGTAAGAACGTTGTCATGCACTTGTACAGTCGCGCTTATTATAAGTAGCAACACTCTGTACTCAAAATGGCGCCAACACTGCTATTGGTCGCATACATAAACATCGGCGAAACAATTTTTCTCAATTGGTGGTACTCTCTGAACTCATATAACGTTTGTCAGTTCAGCACCTCCTCTATTTTATTAATGCCAGTCAAGATGCGCCCTATCCACCGTTCACAACCCTCTCCGCTAGCCCTTTCCTGCTCTCGCGCTTCGCCCAGCCTTCGTAAGTGCTTTGCGGTCGTGGGGGAGAGAGTCCATCATGTAGTGACTCACGACGGGAAATTGTATGAAGTAATTTTTTGTTCAGTTGGGTACAGATATGTGGGGCGGCGTCTTGCATTCCTCGTGTTCATAATGATGGCTGTCGCACTGGCTCAGTAAAAGATACAGTGTTTCGAGATAGCGCGTCACCGTTCGTGGCAGTGTGTGGACGACCAATGGGAAGGCCTTACGGCAGCACAACTGCATGCGCCGACATTGAAAGCGCTGTGATGCAGCGGGGGTATTGCTTTGAGCCACAAAAAAAAAGGAGCCCGAAGGAAGAAATCCGACAAACGTGTGATGTTGGAGTGGGAAACACGTTTGTCGCATCACAAGGGGAAAACGCTCGGAAACATGTGTGACGCGAGCAGCGTGACCCCTCAAATAAAGCGCCGCATCACGACCACTCTCTCAAATAAAGCGGTCGTGCCACCAAATTTGTCGCATGCGTGTTCTTTGCTGTAAGCGTTTCCTTCAGCTTCAGGAAGCCTGATACATGCACCAAGATTCATGTATTTTAGATAAATAATTCAGTATTGCTCTACTTATGCGGCCCATTTTTGTTTCGTGCGCGCCGAGTTGGGCAGTGAAGTCGATGCATAGGTGACTTGGTCACATGACCACACAAGGCAGTTACGCAGATTGTGCCGAGTTTCATCTGCTCTCTCACACACGTGCCACACAAGCGCCAGCAAAACAAGCGTTCTGACAGTCGCCATGGCCAGCTGCAGTATCATCCAGGCAGTTGCAAGGCAAAAGGCAGCCAGAAGAAAACAAAGCATTTATGTTGATAACGT